CAAAGTGATAAAATGTATTTTCTGATTTATTTATAGAAGCAACTTATGATGAATGAATTGAACATCTTTTAATTTATAGTTATGATAATAAAATTAAGCAATGTTAGACAAAACAAAGCATGAAAAATACAAAACTTGTCAATTTATAAGAAGGATTTCTGCATTTAACTGAGAAATATTTAAATGTGCTCAAGTCTTTAATTGATATTCCAGAAGCAGAGGCTTATATAAGGACACAAATTTTTATAACATCTATAGATTATTCTGGGCAACTTCATATACAACATACTATCATTCATTATATTAAATTCAAAGACTCTTCTGAAATTCTGAAGCAAATTTTGCATATTGTTCCAATAATTGGACCTTTGCATATATTCATAACTAGTTGTAAAACTGTGTTCTTTTTAAATTATCATTTTTTGATTTATTTTTTTATCTATTTTTGGGTGTAATAAGATATTAGCAAAAAAGCCAAAACCTTATAGAATTAATTTAATTTTAGAATTAGTATATCAAGGCTAGTTTCAAGTTCACTTTATTATTTTATAAAAATTTAATATTCTAAAGATTCTAAATTACAATACCTTATTAATTTGCTAGATAACATTGTTTTGTTAGTTTTGGATTTTTATTCTATTATTTTTTGAAGTGAAAATTAGTAAGTATATCTAGAAGCAATGTTTTAAGTTTAGGCTATTTTTTATCAATATTAATAAGAACATTATAATAAACTACCATTAATGTTTTTAAGTGATGTTTTTTATTAGTTCAGTTCTAATCACCCTATTTCATAAACTTTTACAGACTTAATTTACTTCTTTAATTACTATTACATAGAAAACTTTCATAGCTCACTTTAGCAACAAATTCAAAATCAAATCTGGCAAAGCAAGTTATTCGAGAGACACAAATAATAATTAAATACATGACAAAAAATTCTTCTACAAATGTGTTTGCTAAAAGTCATAATATCAGATATTCAGCAAAACATCTAGAATATCTTAAAAAACATATAGCACTTTTTCTACTAAGATTTTTTTACAAATGTTTATAAAAATCTTGACAAGTCAAAATTTATTTCTTTTGACACATATTCAAATCCAGAAAAGTATGAATTTTTGATACTAAAAACTCAAGTTGACTTAGATATCTTGCTGATGGCTGTAAATACTTTATATATTCTCTATGATAACAGATTTTGTGATTTAGATGAATGTGTAGATTTTTGTGAAAGAGGTTGTGTTTTAATTTGTGAATATGCTTGTCATTTTGAGTGGTTTTTATTCAAATTAGAAAGCTGTTGTCAATATTATATCAATTACCTTATAAATGAAATTGAAAGAAATTATAAAGCTTTTCAAACAACATTAAAATCAGATGAGAAAGTAAAAAAAAAAGAGCTTAAACAAACAAGAGGATACTGAAGCCAGTGATGATACTATTAATAAAAATTTTTTTTTGGATGAAAATATTAATTGTAATAATATAGATTTACTTGTTGAGAGAGCTATAGATACTTTAATAAGTGCACAATTGGGAATAAATTTTGATAGTTTTGAAGTATAGGTTTTAAAATTGGGTTATAAATTTTGTAAATTTTATACAATACAAGTTTTTGATTTTTTAATAAATAAATAATTTTTTTTTATTTTTAATAAATAAAATTTTTAATTTATTATTTAATTATATTTAATAAATTTTTAATTTATTGTTTAATTATATTTTAATAAATAAATTTAATTTACTATTCAATTATTTATTACATAATTTTTATGTTTAAATGATCTCAAATACTAATTAACAGTATGAATTTAAAAGAAATGCTATATATTTATCTTTATTAATTACAAAAACTTATTTATATATTATGTTTAATATTTCAATTCCACATATTTGATGCCTTTTTTATATATTTAATACTCAATTTGTATTTATAACACTTCTTTTTTTACATTTAACATTTGCTTTTCTTAATATGCAAGATCTCAAGTTGATGTATAAGAGTAAAAGAGTAAGACAAATTAAGATTAATAAAAAAAAAAGAGTTTCATCACTTAATATTTACTGATTTAATAGTTCTTACTTTTACTTACTACTAAAATTTTTCGAGTACTTATTGTTTGTCTACTAAGTACTAATCTAGACAATTTCATTAAAATATATTCTATTCAAGAATAAAATAAGACACTTCTTATTTATCTTCTGAATTACTTTATGGATTACTGAATTACTTCTACAGTTTATAAAATAAGACATAAACTTTCTAATTGTTTTTGTCTTACCTTTTCTAAATTCATATTCATGATCCTAAATTCAATCTTATAACAGAAAATTGTTACTTTAATAGGACTTTATTATGAAATAATGATCTACAAAAATCAGCTAATCACAATAAAGTTTGCTATGCTTATAAATACATAATGTATAGTAGCCAACAAAAATAACATCTGATTTGTAGATTATTACATTTAAGCAAATAAAAAGGCTGTGCATACCTTATTTTAATGAATTTTGTAATAAATTTTTTTATTTTTTGCTTTTTTGATGTTGAAAGAATCAAGTACATGCAAAAGACTTTTTTTTTTTAATAAAAATATCATACAAACAAATGACAGAAAAAGAGAAAGAAATTATTCTTGTTTATATTAATACAATAAGTGCTGAACAAGTTGGCTACAAAATTAAATGTGACCCAATAACAATCTGAAGGTTTTTATAAAAATACAAAAGGACTAAAAAAATTAAGAATTTATTTTGGTCTAGACATCTCTTTGTCTTGAAGAAACAAAAAAAGACTATCATAATAAAAAAAGTATTAAAAGAAAAATGTATATCACTGCTTAAAATTATAAAGAATTTAAACCTTCAATATAGTATACAGACTGTAGCTAAGATCTTATATAATGTTGAACTTTGATCTTGTATTATTGCTTTAAAACCATTTTTGTCTAGTAACAATATAGAAAGACATATAAATAATATAATTAGAATAAAAATAAAGATGCTTATTATTGGAGACATATTATTTTTTCAGATGAAATGAATATAGAAATAAGTAAACAATTCCACCAAGTTCATGTATGACATTGTACAGAAGAAAAATACAAATATGAGTGTTTGTAACCAAATTTTAGAAATGGAAAGGTCTCAGTAATGGTTTGATTATGTTTTATTGATAATATCAAAGATCTCATAGTATTTTTTGATGATTACAAAGGTCTCAAACAAAAAATTAATAAAAACATTTATATCAAGATGTTAAATGACCATCTTATACCATTTTAGCTGTATTTCATTTGTTAAGCATTCCTTATCTGATTTTTCAACATGACAATGCTCCAATTCATAAAGTGTCAAATTAACTAAATTTGAAAAACATTGATTATATGAATTGACCTTCACGAACCCCTGACCTTAACCTCAGAGAAAATATTCGGAAGATCATGAAGGACAATATTCAGAACCGTGATGACTTCTCAAAAAATAAATAAATCTGACCTTAAAACGGCCTTACAGAAAGCATGGTCAAATTTGGATATGTCGGTTCTTCGTGTCGTTGCAGACTCAATGACACGAAGAATCGACGCTATCACAAGTGTAGGAGGTCACTCAGTGAAATATTAAATAAATATAAAAAAAAATTTGATGTATTTGCGGCCAAAATTAAATAAATAAAAATTTTATTTTTTGATCAAAAATCAGGCGTTACTTTTGTTGGCTACTGTACCATAAGTGCACAGTACTGGAAATCACAGCATATACTATAACAATGATAGCTTATGTATGCATATGAGATAGTAAGTAAATAATTTCCCGTTCCTGGTTTTAGCTCAACAGCGTTGCGTAGCTACTTTATTTAAAAAATCGTAATTTCACGTTACATCTGCTCCAGAGATTATTGGTGTATCTTCACAGTCCTGCTAGGGTAGCTTTAAATCAACATTAATTTCTTGTTTATCGTTGAGTTTGAAATATAGTTAAATTCTGTTGATTTGATATTTCTCTAGTTTCAGTAATTTGGGTTTTCCTTTTGTTTCCATATGAGTTTAGATTATGCTTTTTACGACGATCAACAAGCCATTTGCAAAAGTCATCAAAATTTCCTTCGCTTTCATAAGTCATTTTCATACTGAAGATATTTACTTAAAAGCGTTGCCATCTTTAAGAAAAAAAATTTTTTTGATGTTATATTATCATATAAGTAAGATCAAATGTAATATCAAAAAATCTTTTCTATAAATCAATTGATTATTAATCAATTTTATTAATAAGTTCCCTATACCAACGCGTAATATATTTGACCTGATAATTATTTAATCAACCAGTTAAAGATAATAATTACGTGCTTAGTGCAATAATAGTAAAATTCACATCCCAGCATAAAATAGCATTACTAGCTATTTACTAGAAGTTTGTAATCGCTTATTTTCGATTACCAGCTGCAACAATTTTAATTTTCTCAGATATCCAATAAAATCGGATGAGATTTAAATGATTAAAGACCATTTTTGAGACCAAAAGTAGATTGAAAACATTATCGAACCGTCTTATTAGATACTGGGATCACTAGTCCTATCACAGTGCATTTTGAGGTATGAATGCATTACACATAAAAAAGACTACAAAATTATAACCATTTATGCATCTTTGTAATTTGCATTCAACATAACCAATAGCATTGGTTATGCCTAATGCCTATTTTGAAAATAACGATAATTGCTATACACAAAAAAGGTCAGTTGTAATAAACAGTAGATTTTAGCACAGATCTTCAACTATAATATAAACACTGTACGATCCTGCTATGAAACATTAAAAATCTTTAATATTTTACTCGTACATGCGTACGTATATAATCTAGATATTCATTCCTTCTTTTCACTCCCTCATCGTCTCATTCTAGATATTCTTTTTTCTTTACATTTCCTCGTCGTCTCATTCTAGACATCCGTTGTCAAACATTCTTTCCCCCTCCTCTCTTTTATTAAAAATTAAATATGATTGTTATTTCACTTTTTTCTAAAATTATCGCAACCTTCATTTTAATTATTTATTCAATCACATTGGTTGAAGCACAATTCAATTGTCCTTCAACACCAAGTTCTAAAGAAGACCTGCAAACTTTCATTGTTCAACTTTCCTCACCGGAAAAAGCAATTGATCACTATGATTTTTTAAAATCTTGTTTTAATAAAGAAATTAACGACAATATTGATCAATTGATTGATCATACCGTTATAAAAATTGCTAGTTTTGGATCATTCATTTGCTACATCGGACAGTTTAGCCCTAGCGAAGCTGCTGTATTGGCTAGTTCACCCGGGGTTATTCGTGTCGAAAATGACAAAACCGCTAATCTTTTTGCTCCTACTGGAACAAATCTTACTCTCGGTCCTGTTGGAGGAAATGGTAATCTTTGTACTTCTCTTACAGAATTCCAGGCCCCTCCTGTATGAATATTTTTTAATTGATACTTTAAAATTTAAGACTTTTGAAACACATAAATATATAACCCGAGTAAATGACATTAATGATGCTTTATCTAACTTTTAGAATCTGGATCGTATTGACCAAAAATCTCCTCCATTGGATGGAAAATATAGATATCCCGCCACTTCTGGTTTAGGAGTAAATGTTTATATTGTTGATACGTAAGTTATTACATAATTGATGTATAATTAAAATAAAAATTATAACAGCAATTGTTTTTTTTATTTATTCAATGCTATTTCCTCCATAAGAGGTATTAATACAGCTAATTCAGAATTTGGTGGACGAGCAAAGCTCGGGCCTGCTTACTGTGATGGATGTTCAAACGTTGATGATACTGGGTATCCATTTTTGATTTCTTTTTTATTTCTACTTATAATAAATAATTTTAAAAAAATTTTTTTAAAAAAAACAAAGTCACGGAACACAAGTCGCAGGGATTGTAAGCATTATGTTAAAACTATGATATTTATTTCAGTTTTGATCTTATACTTTTACATGCGACAAACAAAATACTTAGTTTTATACTAACAAATTTAAATATGATAATCATATTAATAGGTTGGAGGTAATAAAATTTTTCAACAAAATGTTATTTGAGGAATTCTTTGATACTTAATTGAATTTTAAAATGACTTTAGGAACTCGCTATGGAGTAGCAAAACTAGCAACCCTGATTTCTATTAAGGTTTGCAATGTTACGGGCTGCCAGTACAGTAATGTCATTGCAGCATTAACCTACATAGGAAACCAACATTCTAAAAGCTCTAACAAGAATACAGTGGTCAAGTAATATTTTATCTAAATACAAATCTCTACATTTATATATTTATTTGCTGCTGCAATAAACTTTGATACCTATTTTATAGCATGTCTATAGGTGGTGGCTTTTCACAAATTTTAAATAATGTAACCGATCAGCTTGTTAATGCGGGTGTACATGTCGTTGCCGCTGCTGGAAATAGTGCAACAGATGCTTGTAATATTTCACCAGCATCAGCACCTAATGGGATTGCAGTTGGTGCTACTGAAACTAGAACAGATGCCACTGCAGATTTCTCAAACTTTGGACGATGCGTCTTTATCTATGCTCCAGGTGATAGATTAAATTTTAAATGCTACATTTACATCTAATTTGTGGAATTAATCCTTTATTTAAATATTCGATTTTAAAGACAATGTTAATAATCTATTACAAAAAAATAATCGGATTTTAAAAATTATTAAAGACTTTTTATTAAAAGTTCTGAATGAGAAATCTGATTCCACAATTTCGCTAAAATGGACAATTAATATTTTTGTATCAACATTAATTAATTCTTATTTTATAACTAGGTACAAACATCACAGCGGCCGGAAATAGTGCTATTACCGCTTTAGCAACATATTCAGGAACCAGTCAAGCAGCTCCTCATGGTTTGTAATTAAAATTTTCGCATTAACCAAATTTTTTGTATAAATTGATATTTATTCCAACTTTTCTTTTATCTAGTCGCAGGAACAGTTGCTTTGATAATTGCAAAAGACGGAAATAAATCTCCAGCTGAAATGAAGGTAGAACTTGATAAATTATCAACAAAAGGTATAGTTACGGGTAATGTTAGTCGTACAGATTTAAACAACAGATTTTTACGTCTTCCAGATTGTAGTAAATAGTTAATATTCCTACCAAAATGACTATAATTATCGACTCTTTACAACCATAAGAAATGAATCGAATTGATCTTATTTTAGGATTTTTCATTTCTTTTTACAAATTTTAATTTTGGAAAATTTTAATACAGTAGATCAATCTTAGTACAATAATTAATTTGGAAATAATAAACTTCTATAGAAAATTACTTATAAAATCCATTTATAATAGAATATTCCTTATTTTCATTATGTTATTTTAATTCTTTTGCTTTGTTGTCGCACCCAATCCGGTTAAACCACTTTTTTAATTCACAAGATCAGTAAACGTAATCCCTATCGCATTACGTCATCTATTAAGAGGCGTCATGACCTCCTATAAAGTTTAAATTATATGAGTGGCACCGAGTTTACTAATTGTCGGATTTACTGATTTCTCCACCGCTTCTGATTGGTTCTACTAATTATTCACATATCGGAGTATACCAGGAACGGAGTATGAAATACATAGGGTATGGTTTACTTAAGTGTTAAATGGTGTGTGCGATTCTTAGCATATAATTGGATTATCCTTCATCGTGACCTTCACCCCGAACAATACTTTAAAAGGTAGGTACCAGGAACGAATGCCTCTGTACGCAAAGTCTTGGAATTGATTGGTCCGCGTGACTTATTCATGGTTTAGTAAAAAAAAAAAATGAGCACGTACATCTGTAAAATCAAAGATGCAATAACAAACAGTAATAAAAATAATTTTTTGTCACAAAAATTAGTGACCCAATGTAAATTTAAAGTCCTCAATGCTAAATATTTTGTAATTTTCATTTTTTTCATCGAATTTTTTATCGGGCAGATAAAATGATAATCACTGATTGTCAAAGACTTAATCGAAAGAATTTGTTGATCCTTTCTAAATATGTAAATATGCTTCGTAGATTTTAATGTATTTTGCAGAGCTCAGAATTTTGGGTCAGATTCATCGAAATTGAGTAATGCTAACTAACCAACTATATAGCAGTCAGACATTGACTTCATCAATAGGTTTTTAGGCTCAGTCACTAAAATTCAAACCAATATTCAGATTGCAAGTACTATCAACTTCTTTTATAAAGAGACATTTTCTTATACCAGGAATAGATTACAATGAGGAATATGGTTTCCCGTGACTGAAATGGAGTCTGCATAGATTTCCCCCGTTCCTGGTTTCGCGCGACAACGTTGCGCAGCTACTTATTTGTTATTAATCAATTTTATAGTTCTCCGATATTGAAGTTGTGGGGAAATTAGGACACCCATAATTGTTCCCCTAGTTCTTATTGGACGTTTAGAAATCTCTCTTTGAATGGTACAAACTCTGATCTGAAGAAAACAAAAATATGGTAAAAAAACATATTAAACTATAAAATCGATACTTAATGGTGTTATTAAGACAAAATGGAACAGATACTTTTTTTTTTGGTAAGACACGGAAGGTGATTTCCTGAGTAAAATTACAAGCTACCATGATTTTTGAGAAACTTGGATTTTTTTTCATCATTTTATGTTACACTGGATCTTACGATTTAATTGGTAGAAAAAAGTTGCGCAATCTATTTTGTCCAATCAGTGATAATATTTTCATACATCAAAAGGTTTCCCGGTGTCACTAAAGAAAAACCAGGCTTCGGGTTTTGGGATTTATTACTGATTAGAATCAATCCTTGCAAGATCTGATTAGTGATTTGTGATATAAAATTGAAATCAGGCTTTGAATCGTTTTCGATTGGTTCACTGATTCAATTCTTCGGGGGTTGAATATGATTTAAAACCGTAACAAAGTTTTTTTTTTTTTTTACGGTATACAGGAATTTATCTAAATAAAGAAATTTTTTTATTATTTGTAAAAAATTCGGATTGTTATAAATAAAGCGTGAGTTTGTCATTTTCTGTTCATATTGATTATTAATTAACGCGCATGTATCATTTTGAATTAGTTAAAATTAAGCTAAACCTAAATTACATGGGTACAATTAACAAGCATATTCTTATTAGAAAATGACAAAGTAATACTGAAACATAGTCATTATCATTGGGATTAGAATTTATATAGACGCGCCCAAAGGAAAACCTGTCATCGGACATTCAATTATATTTCGTGTACAGTTAGCCGTCTAAGGAAAATCTATCATCATGATAGATTTTCCTTAGATATTGAATGTCCGATGACAGGTTTTCCCTTGGGCGTACTCATATGTGAAATGAGCTAATGATGCCTTACGAATGACGAAACCTTTCGTCAAGCTGATTTCTAAATGACGAACTGACGATTGACGAAACCTATGACGATTGACGAAACCTATGACGATTGACGAAACCTATGGCGATTGACAATACATATGACGCAACCCATGCGGATACCCTTATGAACAGGAGGAACAGTCGATGTTACACGACTGATCCTTCACCCATATAAAAAAATTAATCATAAAGATATCATGTACTACGTAGCGATCAGTCGTGTAACATCCTCCTGTTACACTTATGTCAAGCAAATTCATAAGCATAAGTTTGTATGATTGGCTAGTAAATTCAATTTAATTTTTTATATAGTTTAGAGTACTTTTTAAAAAAACGAAAATTAATCATAATGAAAACTATATAGAAGGTTTCATTAGAGTTGTAGGACTCCATAGCCAAAAATAAACTTATTACTAAGCTAATTTTTTTAAGCGAACGAGAATAGATCTTATTTTTGACTATGGAGTTCTACAGCTCTAATGAGACCTTCTATATGGTTTTTTACTTTATTATTGTTGGATTTCGTTTTTTTAAAAAGTTATAAATAGAGACTTGTTAATGCCACCCCCTATTTTTGTTAATGCCACCCCTTACATAATCTAACCCTAATTAATAATTAGGGTCTGAAAGGTCGGAGATTAAATATTTTATATAAAGGGGTGGCATTAGCAAAAGTAGGGGGTGGCATTAACAAATCTCTATAAATAATGTAAAACTAAATTAAATTTATTAGCCAATCAGGCGAACTTCTGCCTATGATAAGCAATTTCCGGGCTGAAAATCATTTCCGATCTACATCGAAACCAATAGAATTTCGGAAATTGTGTAACAAATGTAGGGTTCATGTGGCAATTTGAGATCAATTTGATTGGTCAATTTATGTCGATCAATGAAAATCTACTGTGACGGGTTTTATGGTCGAGTTCGATTATGCCGCGTAACATTTCTCAAAGATAATAAAGGCGGTTTTTACGATTTGGCACAAGGTCGAGGCGATTTTTTAAGGTGCGTTTACTAGATAAGTATATGAATTTAAAGAGCGTTTATAGGTTAAAGGGCTTTATTAACTTTATGATTATCTGTAGAGGTAATACAACTATAGGACTGTATTATATACTATTCTGGGAGGTTCTGAACTCAACTGAACTTAACTACCTTTTGGAAGGGGGAAATTCCATTTTTTTTATAATGAATTGATCATGAGAAGAGCATGCACAAGACCATGACTCTTCTTATTGTTTCTATCATCTCTCAACCTTATTTGTTCTAACCTTTAATCCTTTTTACACAGCCTTTCATTACTTTAACATTTCTCATAATCTTCATAGAACTGATGAGAAATGTTTCAGTTTTACTATTCCAGAGTCAAAACCTATCATATTGTCTACAATTGCACCCCTCTTGACATTGTCTCACATCTTACTGAAGTAGAATAGGTGGAGTTGATATCCATTTCCAGCACAAACAGGTTGGTTCAGGTTGATCTTTTTTTATTTGGAGAGGGTGGTAGGGTCCTGCATGAAGACTTGTGTACTGTCATATGGCTTTCATAAGGCTGGACAACATGTTTTAAATTGATCATTATAGGCATCTCCAATTAGTTAAGTATGTCATAATGATATCTATTTTGCAGGTTCTATGGGGTGTCAGTTTTATCTCTGACACTATTGAGTTAAATCTATTAATAAGAACAAAACAGTGATGACTTGTTAGTTACTTCTCAATCAAATGCATTGTATAATCTATAAACAACTTAGTCAATAAAAGGTGGTTAGATTTGGTGAGTAGTTTGTTTATGATCATAAATTTTACAATATAGTAAAGGCAAAATCAAACTTTATTATAAGCATGAACTACTGTTTATGTAGAGTTCAAAACCTTTATTATATACATTCATTTATATAAGGCATATTATATATTTTATTCATGATATCACACTTATATCCTATATTTTACATATATTAATTATTATGTTTATATCAATAATATTATTTATACTAATTATTATAATTATACACTAATCCTCTTTATTATACTGATATCTATTATCAACTAATACAACAAATACAGTATATTGTTACAGGTAAATGAGATGAATCTAAGGATGGAACCAATATAATAAATTGTTATTTCAAAATCATCAATATTGTATAATGTTATTTAAAAGCAATACAAGGTAAATACAATTTGGCAATAACTAAGATGGTTTTCAAGCAAATTACTAGGTAATGATAAGAACCTTTTTAAAGAGCATATATGTTTCTTAACATTTTTTATAATTTATAAACTAATTATTTTATTAATTTTCTTTAGATTACAGAAGTGAAGATCAAGGGGGTTATAAGAGAGTCTTCTCCTACTTAATGTCAATATAGAGGATTATTTTAATAAATTATCAAAAAAGTATCTTGAGAATGTTCTTTCTTTTTCTATCTTAATGTTTTCTTTTTCTGTTAATTATATTATTTTACTTTTTGACTTATGTTTCTATTTTTTATTAACTTCTTTATTTTGTAAATTCTGCTAATAGAGTTACAGTTGCATAACTCTAAATAACTTTGCAGGTTGTAAGTTTTGGTATAAGCCAATGAAAGTATGTTATTACACCTTTTCTTTGTTACACATCATAATTATTTTACTAAGTCTTTCTTTATTTTTAGGTTAGCAATAATTGTTACATATGGGGTTATATTAGAAAAATTTTAAAAATAATATATATTGTTAGTAATCTCTAGATTATTAATGAT